GAATTAGCCTCCACTATTCTTGCAGGCACCCTCCACAACTCTGAGTAAAGATGTTTCTTCTCGTGCTCTTGTTGACAATCTTGACATTTTGACCCCTGCTTCTTACTGTCTGTTTCTTAGCTGCTAACTATTTCTCAGTCCGTGCCAGTATATTGCCATAAATCCCACATCCCTTGTTTTCACATTAACCTCTTAGGTGGGAGTTCATCAAACATTCTGAAAGTCCAAATACACTAAATCCACAATTTTCTCTTATCTATTCTACTAATTCCACCCTTAAAAAAATTCTCCAATTGGCTCGTCAAAGATGATTGCCTTTTCCCCAGTTGACTGTGTAACCTCACTGTAATTTTCAAAGTGTGTTGTTCTCACATCCTTCATCATAGGCTGAAGGATTTCTTTCTATTTTGTATGACTCTATAATACCAGAGTAACTCATCTTTTGTTTTAGACCATAAGATATAGGAGCAGAATTAGTCCATTCAGTCCATCAAGTAAGCTCCACCATTCAATCATGCCTGATAAATTTTTTAGCCCCATTGTCCTGCCTCCTCCCTGTAACCCTATCTGTCTCTGTCTTAAAGATATTCAATGACGTGGCCTCCACAGCCATGTGCAGCAGTGAGTACCTCAGATTTTCCACCCTCAGGCTGAAGAAATTCCTCCTCATTTCTAAAGGGTTATCTCTTCAATCTGAGGCTTTGGCTCAGTATTCTCTCCTACTATTAAAAACATCTTCTCTCAGTTGACTCTACCCAGTACTCTCAGTATTCTGTAAGTTTCAGTGAGATTCCCTATTCTCACCCTTCTAAACTCCATGGAGGTCAAACCCAAGACCTCACCCACCCTTCATATACCAAGCCCTTCATCCCAGGATCGTTCTTGTTAGCCTTCTCTGGAACCCCCTCCAAGGCTAACATATTCTTTCTTAAATACGGGATCCAAAACTCCTCAGAATATTCCAAAGATAACAAGGTGTGGAGCTGGATGAACACAGCAGGCCAAGCAGCATCAAAGGAGCAGGAAGGCTGACGTTTCGGGCCTAGACCCTTCTTCAGAAATATTCCAAATGTGGTTTGACCAGTGTCATATACAGCCTCAGCAGTACATGCCTGCTTTTGTATTCTAGCTGTCTTGAAATGAATGCTAATATTGCATTTGCCTTCCTAACTGCCAACTGAACCTGCATGTTTGCCTTAAAGGAATCCTGAACTAGGACTCCTAAGTCCCTTTCTGCTTCAGGTCTCTGAAGTCTTTCCCCATTTAGAAAATAGTCTACATCTCAATTCTTCCTACCAAAGTGCATAACCTCCCACTTTCCCACATTGTATTACATCTGCTGCTTTTTGCCCACTCTCCTAGCCTGCTTCTGCAGCTTCCCTGCTTCCTCAACACTACCTGCCCCTCCACCTATCTGCAAACTTAGCAACAATGCCCGCAGTTCTTTCGTCCACATTATTAATGTATAATGTGAATAATTGTGATCCCAAAACTGACTCTTATGGAAACCTTTCCCGTTACACCATGGGCTCTAACCTTATTTGGCAGCCTCCTGTGCACACCTTGTCAAAGGCTTTCTACAAATCGAGGTAGGTTGCCTCACTGGCTCTCCTTTGCAAACTTGCTTGTTACCTCCTCGAAGAATTCCAACAGATTTATCAGGCATTACCTCCCCTTGACAAAGCTGTGCTGACTCAGCCCTATTTTACCATGCACTTCCAAATACTGTGCAATCTCATCATTAATAGTGGATGCTAAAATCTTTGCAATGACCAAGGTCAGGCTAACTGGCCTACAAATTCCCACTTTCTGCCTCCCTCCCTTCTGAAACAGGGCAGTTTCATTAGCCATTTTCCAGTTCTCAGGAGCCCTCCTGACTTTAGTGACTCCTGAAAGATCACGACCAATGCCTCTGCGATCTCCTCAGCTATCTCCCTCAGAACCCTGGGGTGTAGTCCAACCAGTCCAGGTGACTTATCCTCCTTCAGACTTTTCAGCTTCCTCAACACCTCCTTAGTGAAGGTCACTACACTTACCTCTGCCCCCCGACTCTCTTGCAGTTATGGTATGCTGCTGCAGTCTTCCACCGTGAAGACTGATACAAATAGCTATTCATTTCCTCCACTATTTCTTTGTTCCCCATTACTACTTCTCTAGCAATCCAGTGACCATGCTTGCCTCATTCTTACCTTTGCGATATCTTTTTAAAAAATAAGCTCTTGCAATGTCACTAGCTAGCTCACCCTCGTATTTCATTGTCTGTTCCCACCTTACTGATATTTTTCTTTTTGTTGTCCTCTGCTGGTTTCCAAACACTTCCCAATCCTCCGGCTCCCATTTCACCACATTGTATGCTTTCTTTTTGCTTTATGTAGTCTCTGACTTCAATTGTCAGCCATGGTTGCCTCGTCCTCCTCTTAGTATGTTCCTCTTTCTTGGGATGAATTTCTGCTGTGCCTTCTGACTTACTCCCAGAAACTCCTGCCATTGCTGCTCCACCATTGTCTATCAACTCTGGCCTGCTCTTTCTTCATGTCTTTGTAGTTACTTTTTTTCAATTGCAATATAGTTACTGCTGATTCCAGTTCCTCCCTCTCAAACTGTAGGGCGAATTCTATCATATTAGGATAACTGATCCCTAGAAATTCCTTCATCTTAAGCTCCCTGACCAAGTCTGCCTCATTATACATTATCAAATCTAGAATTGCCTTTTCCTGGTGGCTCTACTACAAACTGCTCTAAAAACTACAATCTCGTAGACATTCCACAAATTTCTTTTTGTTTTGGGATCTGCTACCAAACTCATTTTCCCATTCCACTACATTGAAACCCCTCATGATTATTGTAATAATGCCTTTCTTACGTGCTTTTTTTATCTCCTGATTTATTTTCTGCCCTACATTCTGACTACTGCTAGGGGACCTGGTTTTCTGCTTTTTTTTTTAACAGTAAGGTTACATTTAATACCCTCCACTATGCCAGAACTGTTCCAGAATTGACAGAAGTTTGGACGATGATCACCAATGCATTCACTATTTCCCTGGTAACCTCCTTTAGTGTCTGGGAAGTAGAATATGAGCTCCAGGGGATTTATCAACTTTAAGTTCCATTAATTTCTTCATTTCTTTTAATTGATGCAAATTTCCTTCAGTTCCCCTCCTCTTTACTCGCTTAGTTCCCCAACATTTCTGGGAAATTATTTGTGTCTTCTCTTGCTAAGACAAACGAAAATAATTGTTTAATTCCTCTGCTGCCATCTTGTTCTCTGTTACCCATTCTTCTGGTTCAGACTGTAAGAGGTCTGTGCTAATCTTTTGATTTCTACATACATATAGAAACTCTTACAATCCACTGGTCAGACCACAGTGTGAATACAGTGGCAAACAGTTTGTGCTCCTTACCTAAGGAAACATGTACTGGCACTGAGGGCAGACCAGAAAAGGTTCACTGAGCTGTTACCAGATATGGACGGACATTCTTATGAGGAGAGGTTGCATAGGTCGGGCCTGTACTACTTGACATATAGAAGAATGAGAGTGATCTTATTAAAACACATCTTAGAAGATTTGACACAATCGATGTGGAACATTTTCTCTTGTGGGAGAGAGTCTAGGACCAAAGGGCATAATCTCGAAATAAGGGTCACACATTTAAGGTAGAAATGAGGAGGAATTTCTTCTCTTAGAACATAGCTAATCTATTGAATTTTTCATCACAGAAGAATATTGAGAATGGGTCGTTAAGTATTTTCAAGGCTGGGATAGACAGATTATTAATCAGTAAGGGAAAGTACGGTATTATCAGATCAGCCATGATCTCATTGAATGGTGAAGCTGATGGGATGAATGGCCAACTTATGTTCCTCTGTTTTATGGTCTTAGGATCTTATGGAATTCTAAATTGCACTCAATTCTCAGGCTTGCTACTTTTAATCCATTGAATGGAATCATACCAAATGAAAAGGCAGGTGGTTGTGACTGTCAGAAGTCAGTTCTAGGACATCACTGCAGAAGAACCTTAGGGTAGTATCCTTGGCCCAACCATCTTCAGCTACTGCATGAATGACCTTCCTTCCAGAACAGGAAGTATTTGCATGATATTCAGCACCATTCATCAGATACTGAAGCAATCTGTCTCTAAATGCAGCAACCTGGACAATTTCCAGACTTGGGCTGTTAAGTGGCAAGTAATAATTGACATGTGCCAGGTAATCACCATCTCTAACAAGACAGAATATAACCATCTCCCCTTGATATTCAATGACATTACCATTACTAAATCCTTCACTGTCAAAATCCTCCAGGTTACCATTGACCAGAAATGGAACTGGACCAGCCATATAAATACTGTGGCTACAAGAGCAGGTCAGAGACTAGGAATTCTACAAGAAGTGACTTGCTTTTTGTCTTCTTGATGTCTACAAAAGGCACAGGTCAGGAGTGTGATGTACAATCCACTTTCCTGGATGAGTGCAGCACCGATAAAACTTAAGCTTGACATTTGATTGGCAGTCCACCAGCTATAATGTTCTATCCCTCCACCAAAGTGGCTATATATGTGCCATCTACAAAATGCACTGCAGCAAATCACCAAGGCTCCTTCCAAAGTTCCTTCCAAGCTTATGACTAGTATGCCTAGAAGAGCAAGGAAAACAGATACATGGGGAAAATCAGCACCTGTAATTTCCCCTCCAAGCCCCACTCCATTCTGACTTGAAAATGCATCTCTGTTCTTTCACCATCACTGGAACTTTCTCTCTAACAGCATTATGGGTATTCCCTACAACTCGAAATCTGCGGAGATTGGAGAGGCAGCACATCACCACTTTTCCAGAGCAATTAGGGATGGACATTAAATGGTGGGCAAGCCAGTAAGTCCCACATGTCATGAATGAATAAAAAGGTTGAACTCTATGACTTACACCAGGAGATATGATGCAGCAATCAAGCTTTGGTGAATTATCCTTGTGACTAATATTTTGACTCTCCTTTTTCTTCCAGATTGTGACAGATGCAGCTGCAGTAGAACATTTGTTACTAAAAACAGAAGTACAACGGTCACAGCCAGTCGAGAACTGTGTTGTGTGTGGAGACAAAGCATCAGGTAAACACTAATTGAAGGATAATCTGAAAAGGGTCCAAGCCAAGGCATAGTAAACTATGGACTAATTGCAGGTAAATGAGATTGGTGTAGTTTGGTGTTTGTTGGTCAGCATAGACATGAAAGGCTTGTTTCTATGCTGTATGACTCTAAGGTAACACAAAGCTTCAAAGTTTTTTTATTCACCTGTGGAATGTGGGTGTCACTGACTGGATCAGCATTTGTTGCCCTTGAGAAAGTGGTGGTGAGCTGCCTTCTTGAACTGCTGCAGCCCGGGCTGGTAGAATGTATGGGCAGATTGCATTTAATGCAGAGAAGTGATTTATTTTGATAGGAAGTTTGAGAAGAAGCAATAGGAACTAAAGTTGCAGGAGTAGAGAGACTTAGGGATTTGGATGCATAAATAATTGATGGTGGCAGGAAAGGTTGAGAAAGTACTTCACAAGTCATGTGACTTACTGACTTTTATAAATAAAGGCATAAAGGCAAGGAAGTTATGGTGAACCTTTTTAAAAAAAAAAAAAAAAAACTACTGACCTGGCCTCAACTGAAGAATTATGTCTCATTCTGGATCCCACATTTGAGGCATTTAAGGCGCAGTAAAGATTGAGAAGACTGATTCTGAGGTTCAGTTACATAGATAATGTGGCAACATGGGAGCCATTCCACTTAGGGCAGAGGAGGCTGAGAGGAGATTGGGCAGATGTAGCCAAAATCATGAGCAGTCTGAGCAGATTTTTTTAAAATTCATTCTTGGGATGTGGGTGTCGCTGGCTGAGCCAGCATTTATTTCCTGTTCCTGATGCCTTGGAAAAGTGGTGGTGAGCTGCCTTCTTGAACCGTTGCAATCGGCATGGTGTAGGTAGACCCACAGTACTGTTAGGGAGGGAGTTTTGGGATTTTAACATGTGCTGTCCAAGGAACCCTTGGTGAGCTGATGCAGTGTATCTTGTAGATGGTGTACGCTGCTGCTGTACTTTGGTGCTGGAGGAAATGAATGTTGAAGGTGTTAGATGGAATAGAAAACAAGTGAAGTGCTTTGTCCTGAATGGTGTTAAGCTGCTTGACTGTTATTGGAGTTCCACCCATCCAGGTAGGTGGAGAATATTCCATCATACTCTTGTCTTGTGCCTTGTAGATAGTGGACTGGCCTTGCGGGGTCAAGAGATATGTTACATGTTGCACAATTCCCAACTTTTGACCTGCCCTTGTAGCCCAGCATTCATTTGACAGATTTTGTTCACTTTCTTTATGAACACGCAAGCTAGGAACAGGAGTAGATCCTTTGAACCAGCTCCAATATTTAATATGATCATGGCTGACGTGAACGTAACCTCAACTGAACATTTCTGCCTCCATCGTAAACCTTCCATTTCTTTGCATATCAAGAACCTATCCGGCTCTATCTAAAAATGTTCAAGGACGTTGCATCCACCACCTTTTAAGAAAGGTACTCCAGAGACCCATTGTTCTCTGAGCGATGAAAGTTATTCACATCTTTGTTTTACATGGACGACCGTTAATGTTAATCTTGGATCCGGAGTTCCAGATTCTCCCGCAGGAAACATCCTTTCCACATCCATCCAATAAAGACCCCTCAGGATCTTAGTTTCCAATAAAGTCACCTCAACTCTTCGAAACACCAGTGTATATGAGCCTGTCCAACCTTTCCTCATGAGACAACCCTCTCATATTTGTCCAGGAAAACCTTCCCTGAACGGCTTCCAATGCATTTACTTCCTTCCTGAAATCAGGTGACTAACACTGTACATAGTACTCCAACCGTGGTCTCAGCAGTTGTGTAACTGAAGCGTAACATTTACAGTTTTGCATTAATTTCCTCTTGAGCAGTAGTGTCTTAGAGAGTCTATAGCACTGTAAAAGGCCCTTCAGCCCATCTGGTCCGTGTTGGTCAAAAAAACAACCACCTTTCCCATTTTTCAGCATTTGGTCAATAGCCCACAATCCTCTAGGTGAGAGAGGATTTTCCTCACATTTTCTGTGAACCTTCTGCCCTTACCTTAAATCTATGCTCCCTTCATCATTGATCCCTCAATCAAGGGGAAATGTTTCTTCTTGTCTATTCTATCTTTGCCCCTCGTAATTTTATACATCTCATGGAACACAGAACAGCACAGGAATGGGCCCTTCTGCCCACGACATTGTGCCAAACATGACGCCAAATTAAAACAATCCCTTCTGCCTGCCCTTGGTCCATATTCCTCCATTCCTTGCATATTAATATGCTTATCTAAAAATCCCTCAAATGCCTGAACACATCTGTCTCCACCACCACCACCACCACTGGCAAAGTGTTCCAGACTCCTGCCACTCTTTGTGTAAAAAAAAACACACTTGTCCCTAACATCTCCTTTGAGCTTTATCCCTCTCACCTTAAATGCATGCTCCTGTAGTAGACACTTCAACTCTGAGAAAAAGATTCTGACTGTCAACTCTATCAATGCATCTCGTCATTTTATAGACTTTAATCAAGTCTCCCCTCAGCCTCTGTTGCTCCAGGGAAAACAACTCAAGTTTTTCCTGCCTCTCTTTATAGCTCATGCCCTCTAATCCAGACAGTAACCTGGTAAACTTCTTCTGTACCCTCTCCAAAACCTCCATATCCTTCCTGTAATGTGGCAACTGGAATTGAATGCAATACTCTCAAGTATGGCCTAACTAAGGTCTTATAAGGCTGCAATATGAAATCCTGACTCTTGTACTCAATTCCTCAACCAGTAAAGGCAAGCATGTCATACACCTTCTTTACCACCCTGTCTACCTGTGTTGCCACTTTTGAGGGAGCTATGGACTTGAACC